CACCGTGGTCGAGGTCTCAGGAATTTCGGAAGCATTCACCATGTCGTCAAAGGAGGCTTGAGTGAGGTCGAAGTCATTTTGGGTGGCTACATGGGCTTCATGAGAATTGTGAGCTTCGGTCTCGCGTTGGGTACTAGACTCCAGCAGAAAGTCATTGTTGGCGTCAGTGAGCGGTAGCTCTTCCGGTTCAAAAGTGGTTTGGGGGTCTGCGAGTCCAGAAGTTTCAAAAGCCTCAAGGTCCGCGTCGCTCAACTCACCCATGCCATCAAGGAAGTCTTTAGCGACTAAGTTGATGACATGACACATACAACCATGAAAACGTGACTCGAAGGGCCAATGGATGCCGATGGTTGCATATCGGTCCGAAAGAAGCTTGACCATTGACCGATTGGAGGACGCATTGTCGCCAGTCACCGAAAAATGATTCCGTACCACGCCCACATGATCCAACACTTTCCAGTAGACTTTTGCAAGGTTTTCACCCAAGTGTTTACCTTCGAGGACCTAAGGTAAAGAAAGTTTGAGATGAGATCAATGTGATGATCTCAAACTGAAGGATGCAACAGGGGCCAGAAAGGCCCGTGAAAAAAACATATTCTACTCACCTTGAAAGCAAGGAGGCGTTGGCAAAACTGGCCGCTGGAGTTGAAAAAAAAACCGTTAATTGCCATATAGGTGTGAGAGAAATCGGCGCTGGTCCAGCAATCCGTCGCAGTTGTGATCGATCCGGGAACTCGGGAGATTTCATCGATGAGCTTCTGTTCCAAGTCTAGGAACAGAGCCTCAGAGTTGGCCTTCACCGCCATTCGACCGGGCCAGTAGAAAGACGGGCATATGGTTTGCAGGGCTCTCTGCATGATATCTCCTTCGAAGATGGAGAAAGGAAGATTTTTGCTGATGATAGCGCCAACAAGCAGGTTTTGCAGTGCCTTCTTGCGTGCCGCAGTCGCAATAGGGTCCTCTTTGGGGGTGATGCTTCCCGGGGCGTGATTGAACCAGGCCAAAGCTAAGCCGGGGCATCTTTGTCAATGTTTGTGCAAGTTCGAATTTGGACGTCCGGTTATTGAGAGCACCACACTGTAATCCCAAAGAACGAAGAGATCAGCATATCTTCAGCTAATAGGAGACTTAGTGGCACTTACCCGCAGTGAAGGCAAGGGTAGCACTTCGTGTCATCACCCTTGCTAAGGTCGGTTGATGGAAGCGGCTCCTGTTAGCACGTGTACATTCAAGGGAGGCAGTGTCAGTTGTCAGATGGTACGTTGTATTCTCAGCGGAAATACCCAACTCACATCAAAGTAGAGGTATACATCCGAGCGATGACGATTGGCTCGACTCATGGTGTCTTCACCATTGACCGAAGTTGTATTGGGTACAATTTGAGAATTAGGTCGAGATTGAACGGGTGAATCGGCTGGGGTGGGAGGAACACGGCCGGACGAGACGTTTCGAGAAGCAGACCCAACTCAAGCAGTTGAATTCGCGGTTAGACGAATCATTGAGGACACGCAAGGGGTCAGACCAGCTGGAGTTACACTACCACGCCGGGCGTAGGGAGATGTGGGAGTAGAGGTAGGAGATTTATGGATCTGGAGATGACGGGGCATGATGTGGTCGAGGTACTCGGCAGGACTTTTGAACAAAATATACGAAGTGATTAGTGAACTTTGATCATTGGAGAGCAAGGATTCGAGGAAGAGCACACAGAAAAAGACCCAGAAATGTGAAGGCAAGGGGTGAAAAAAGAAAGGCTGAAAAGGCATTCAAAGATATATCTGGTGAGCTTACCGGATATCAAATGACCATTCCAAAGTTTTTGCTGACGCCTCCATCTCTGAATTAACCAATGCCAAACCCGGTAGCCATAACTCCAAGTGGCGACCAGAAGAATCAGGACCCATGTGGATAGATCAATTAACAAGGAAGCAGATTAATGTGGATTGTACAATATTAAGAAGGCCAAATCGAAGGTCGGATGGGGAGAAATCAAAAGGTGGACAAGCGGCTTAGATAAATAACGTCGTTGGTGGCGGTATCCTAAGAGGTATCATGACGAGATAACAATGTCCTGGCGCGTGGTGAACGAGATTTGAGATATCGTAGTTTGATAACAATCGATATTTGATATTGTATCTTGACAAGTTGTTTGGCAGGTATTTGGTTGTTTGGATGAGTATTCGATGAGTGGAGGACTCATCCAAACAACCTGGGCGGTGAGAAACGGGGTTTGGGTGTTTGGCGCGGAGAGGGGGCACACTAGAGTACCGCGTAATCAGCTTATGCATGCAAGTGGGTAATCCGATGTGGAGTATTACTCTTACTGTCCACATCGGGAGTACATGTACTGCCTTGCGGGGCCGCAACCCGTTCTGAGTGAGTATGAGCTGAGTACACTCATACTCACTGGTGCATCCCTGACTGCAGGGAGTGTCGGCGAGGAAGTGGGAGTTTTATGGGAAAAGCGAGGTACGGATGAATTTAGGGAGCAAGCCAAAATAGAACAAATTTCTTCTATTTTGGCTCGCACGGAGGAAATGCCCTTAGCTACGTGACAATTTAGGGCATCGGCTGTGGATGTTTTTGCCCTAAATTTCCGTACGACACGGTTTACGCCACACGGCTGTGGATGCTCTTAGATCACTTCATCTTTTATCGTACTCTGTTTTTTTTAAAAAATCTGCGAATGTGGAGATGAAATTAATCTCTTTGCCACTGTGAGAGCATGAGCTATTTGGGTTTATTTGATTTGTGTTAAAGACAACAAAAGTTGAGCTTTGGTTAAACTGTCATGACGGTAGGGTCCGCCAAACTCTGTAACGAGATTAAACAGTACGCCTTTCTGATGTTTTTCAATCCATCCCATTTTTAACCGTATGGTGAACAAGATTAGCAATTGAGGGAAGTTGCGGACTCGGACACCGCAACTTTCCTCAATCGGGTTTTGGACTATTTCATTCCCGCGGTGTCAAGCCTCGGGCCTTTGGCGGGGGACTTTGATAAGTTCGCTCACCACAGGCCCGAGGTGAAAGATATATGCTTATAGCGAGTGGTCCCACGTCGCGGAGACTCGAGAGTCCAGAGTGGTGACGAAGTGAAAATATCAATTTTCAACCTCAACGTCTCCCACACGCACACAAGCACATACTCCTCAGCACAACTCGGTTTCGCTACTAGATTCGGAGGACATATATCTTGATCATTTCAAAATACCACCCGCCCGCCCAGGATTGCCAAATGCAAAGTTTTTCTCATCCGCGCAATCCAGGCGAGCCGCCGGCGCCGCCTCTCCCGTACGGCTTGGGCCTTAGAAATATCATACCATGTATGCTAGTGCCAAGTCAGATTGGCAATTAAGGTGTGATATACATCGATCTCACAAACTCCAACAGGAATGGACTATAGCAACCTTGGATATACCTGAATTTGTTCAATTCAGAAGGTTGCCGAGTGAAGTGGATTTGATCGATCTCTTTCGAGTCTTTGGTTTGCTCAATATGAAGAACTTTCTTCACATAAGAACTTTCTTCACATACACTTCTTTGAGAAGAGATCCGTGTTTGGGTAACATCTCTTGATCCCACAAGGACAGTGGACGGGCCAATGCCATAGGACTAGAGCAGGACAGAATCGGTACAACTTATGAATGTGTCTCAAGCAGCTTTAAGGTGAACCAAAATGTAACTCACCTGTCATAAAAGAGGCCGACAGAAAGAATAAATCTTCCGACTGACAATGGAAAAGGATTGGATGCTATTCAAGATTAGGAACTCCGATGTGTATATGTAGATACATATGACCAGGTGACCACATAGCCCGAATCAGCACATCCATCCTCGGGATGGCAGTCCGATCAAAAGTAATCGACTGATCGATCATCTGTCCGTGCGCTTGGTTGGACTTCCCAGGTCTACTCTCGCCATAGATAAGTATCCTATAATCTTGAGAAGGATTTCATTCGGTATGCGGTCGAATGCTGTTTGAGTTTAACTTTGGCTATCTACTCCGCGTTGATTCTCCATTTTGATGGATTGGTGTGGGGTGAGACGTGCTTACTTCTCAAAGGTGATGCACGGCGCGTTTGAAGAGATAAAGTAGAAAAGGAAGGATAATCTCGAGTCTGAGACTTTGAAGTTGCAAATCCAAAGGCTTGATTGTGACTGAAAAATCGAAAGAGTTGTCTTGAACAACAAAACCAGAAGTTTAGTCTAATGATAACTTCATCTAATCCGAGTGCATCTTGATAAATCCCATACCGTTTGGCAGCAGCATGTGTATACCTGTCTACGCCACAACACCCTTGCTTGTGAAAATACTATAGCCAGCTCTAGCCATTCGAGCTCTGGAGATGTTGTGTTATGCCCGAAAGTCGCTAGGTCTGGTTCAGCGCTCAGCACACTTGAGCGTTCAAAAGACATCAATTCTTTTCAACAAATCCTGACCCCTATTGGCGTGAATCCCGTTGTGCGAGACCAAAAATCTTCTGGGTGTGAAGACTTTGGATATGCGATCAGAAAAACTTGATGATTTTTCAGGTGGGCATTGTACATGATTCGTATCTTGAAGTCAACTTGGAAGCTGATAATTCGCTTTCCATTAGGGGTCGTTGGCTATTTCGATCTGCGTGCAATCGAAATGTTTCTTGTGCATAGATACAGGCCTCTGACTGTTGAGTCACTTATTCAAATTCGATCCTGCGATGAATGCACAAACCGAAAATCAAAGACTAGGATTGTGTCGGCTATGAGAGCTACTTGACATCATCGACTGACGATCACTGTAGATCCATCCCCGCGATGAAGAATCAGCGGCGTATCATGTTCTCCACCATAGATAGGAAGTCCTCAGCGGAGGCGCTTTTGATGTTACCCTGCTGAGGCATGCTGGTCCTTCTTTATTAAAAGCCAGCCCTTCAAGATTCTCTTTCATCGAATCTGCTAGATTGCACTTATCGATTGTCTAGTTAAGAGTATCATCACAAAGCACCTTCAAACACATTTAACATGATGTTTGTTGAATCTGTCGCCGTAAACTCCGAGCCATATGAGCTCAATATTCTCAAGGTCGGTTTGAGTCTAATCATATTCTTCGTGCCATTTTTTCAATACATTCAATTCGCTGGTTCATGGAAAGCCAAAGCTCAGTGGCTTTCGCCTCCTCGAGTCCCATTATTTGGATCGTTGCCATTCTTCACTTGCGCTGATCTCTCTCAGCAGTTTTCAAACTGGAAAGAGAAGTATGGGTGCGTATGGGGGAGACATCTCAGTATTAATTTCGATATTTGATTCAAAACTGCTCTTTGAAGTTCTGATGAGACTAAATATCTTAATTCTGTCCGTGCTTGAAAATTCGAACAGGTCGACATTCTTGCTCAAGTTGGGAACTTCTGATGAAATCTTGGTGATCACTGGATTTGAAATGGCTAGAGAGGTCTTGCTGATCAACGGTACAAGTTTTTCCATCGAAAAGCCATCCATGTTCAATGATGAGCTCGAACTGAAAGAATACTTTGTGAGTTTGTGTAGTTCCCTGAAGGAAATATCACTGAACGATGAGATTGAACCACACAAACTTTGTCTTTTGATGAATTAACCGCTATGTAGAGCACCTCTCGGTCGACCGCTTTGAATACCTACCAGACCCGAAGGCAATTGATACACCAAATAACCAAAATGATGTTGCAGTTCAAGAGAAGAGATTACATTGACAGGGCATCTTGTAATCTGATAACACATATTCAAGAACAGCTTACTATTTCCCCCAAAGAACCTATCAACATCAAAGCTTCGATCACTCGAGCCGTAGCACTGGTCTCAGTCAACCTCGGTTTCGGCTTACGTTGGTCAACTCAAGATCTATTATCAAAGCAAGAGGGGCGAAGAATCATTCGAGCTATCGAAATTATATTCAGCAAGTTTCAAGTTAGCCATTTGTTTATTCAAAAATTTTGGATTCATAGCCAAAATTGAAGTCTGTCTATGAATTCACGCATGCTGATTTCCGGCAAAATATGACCAAAACTAGACTTCAGATATACCGACCTTAGTCTTCCAATCCCTTGCCGACCTCCTTCCGGAGGGAATGATGAGACAAAAAGAACAGGCAACGGAAGTGACTGAAGAATTGCTTCAGTCACATCGTAGTATTTGGCGACTGGCGAGAGATACATTGGAAAAAGGAGATAAAGACACTTTAGAACCTTCGATAGTTCAGGTTTTGCTTACCGATGAGAAATATAAAACTTTGTCTGAATTTGAAATGTATTGTGAGTTCAATGCTATCACATTTTTACTCGCCTACAAAGACCTTCATTTCCAACATAATTAACACTGTAGTACCATCTTCTTGAAATAGGTTTGACTGTCACAACAATTGCATCAGCATTCAGCTCTATAGTTTACACCCTTCATACAGCTTTAAGATGTGCCGCAGCGCTACCAGATTGGCAACAGAAACTTCAGGTTGAGATTGATAGATACCTTGTTGCAATGGCTGGAAAAAAAGAGACACATTTTTTGCAAGAATATGGAAAGGGAGGTACGACAAAGAAAATGCCACTGTTGGGAGCCTTTTTGGATGAAGTATTGAGACTTTTTCCTCCTATCAAGTTCTGTAGGTAGAGATTCTTCTGGGTCCTGATAGAAAGTTTTTTGCAATCAGAAAAAGACAAAGTAACAATTGTGCTTATCTAACATATTCTTGATGTCTTTAATCCAAAGTGACACGAACCGCAATTAGGGATGTACCATTATCAGATGGAAAAACCATTAGAGAAGGACAAAGGACTGTAATTGCTTTGCAGAACTTGAATAGGGATCCGATTTTGTTCAAGAATCCCGATGAATTTGATCCATATAGATTTTTGACGGGTGGCAAGTTGAATGAAACAAAAGCAATGTGGCCAAAATATGGTCATACAACGTTTGGAGGAGGAAGGTACTTAGTTTACATTTTATTTTGGGCTATTGAAATTGCTTTCTCATTTTTGCTGTGGATCATGTTTTTTAGACAAGTTTGTCCCGGAGCAGACATGGCACGATATCAGGTCATGTATTTTTTGTCGCGATTGATCGAAAAATTCGAGTTCAAGATGCACAATAGTCAAAGCGGATTACAATACTTGAAAGGTCCTCAATCAGGTGGGAGCGCTTTCCCGGATTTCTCGTCCATCATTATCACGGGAAGAAGACATAATGATTAAAGATTTTCTAAAACGTGACCTCAACTGTAATAAACGTCGTATAATATTGCTCTCGGAGCTACTTTAAAAACATCTGAGTTCTCCTTGACGTAACTTGCTGTTCTTGAGGCTTTAAAAACTGCCAAATTGTGATACACCTAGTACTAGTAGAAAGCTTTGATTTTTCAAAAATACAACCAGTGGAAGCCTTTTTCTCGGCGGATCACCCTGTGGATAGGGATGAGGGTGCAAAAAGAGATGAAAATGTAAAATCTTACAGAGAAACAAGGCAACAAGGTGAGATAAGAATAAAAAGAGCCATGACATGACTTTGAAAGGCTTTTAGAAACTGATCATGTTAGAGTACCGGGTAAGAGTTTCTAAGAACCAAGAGGCCACGTGCCACATAATCAGTTAGTAAAACAATATACACCCACCTTCATGTGTTTACCAAGATAATAAAAAATGAGAATATGTCAGGCCTATATACAAAAAAACACGTGTACAACACCAATTTTAAAACTTTATCCGGAGTTTTGGTGGAGTAGTTGACAAAATCATGGTCAAGATCAGACCTAAAATTGGAGAAAGAAAGCAAGGAACTTTAAGGTTTTGACTGAGTACTTGCCTGAGGAGAAATGAGATGGAAGGAAATGAGATAAGGCCTTCCTTGTAAGTGGTAGGGGCCGGGCACAGGGATAATCTTAAGAAGTATAAAGATCTGGAAATTAAATTCAAGCCAAATTTGGACAAGACACGCGCAAAACTTGTTGAGCCTAGCCTCTAGTAAAGTGCATGAAGAGGTTATGTTTAATCTACATCAGCTGAAATCCTTGGAGAATTCCCTAGATGATCACAACATGGTATTTCTGGGCTTTGCACCAGTGAGTACTTGGATGAAGGGATTGTTTGAGCTCATCCATTCTTTGTAGTATACACACATTTTCGTATAGAAGCAACCTGCATTTTCTTCAAGATCACTGCAGGTACATAAAGACTGCCACTTTTTTCCCTCACCTGTGGCGAGATGGCTATCCCCAACATAGGCCAACCTAGGCCAAGGTACTTTCACACAAATAAGGTTTGGTGGTGTACGTACTGATAAAATTCTCTGTATAGCCCTGTTTGAATCAACTTGGAAGGCCTTCTTAGCTTAACACAAGCCCTCTCTGCGCGGCCACGAGGGCTTGTGTTCAGCTAAGAAGGCCTACCGGAACCAGTGACGCTGTGCTCATGCCATCACAACCAAGGCTCCGAAACCTTTCATATGTACATGTTAGCATTCGGTGCCCAAGTTCATCCGACTATGGCGCATACTTTGTACATACCTAGAGTCGCGATGGTGGTGTATGGGTATTTGAAGCTTCTACATTGTACGTACTACTGGAGGATGACGCAAGTAATCACGGTGTTCGTTGTCAAAAGTGGAGGAAAGCTGAAAGTACATAAAAGCTTGAAACATCATTTCCTGTGACTATGCATACAGCTTGATCCACAACCCTCGACCACACCAGATCTCCGCGGTTTCAGCTTAAAGTTTCTCTTGCGCGGCCGCGTCCGCAAACAGAGACTTTGTCATGTGAAGCTCTTTTGCGCGATGATAAAAATCACTCCGCAACCTTTGGTTCGTGACGTGGGACGTGAGGACAAGTTAAGACTCCTTCGCAGGGTTTGTTTTGATCTGTGAAACGTGGTGGCCGGGGCGAGGGGCGAGGGCAGGTTGGACTGATAGTGTCCTTGTAATCGCAACCTATGGCACATGCCCAATGTGTAACCTGCCTTAGTTTCCGTTCAGAAGCTGGACTTGTCAGACTTGTTTGTTGACTTTGACTCCAATCCTCACATACGGCCTTCGAACTAGTCAGTATGTACGCTGATGACGCACAGGGAGACAAGCCGGTAGTCATCAATAAGAACCCCCGGGGTTATCACAGCCCACGTGGCAAGATTTTCTGCGCTTCCATCTGTTTTCATAACTCCGTGACCTTCACAAGGCTTTGTAAGTAGGTCGGTTTGTTGAAAGCTACCCAATGTCTGTGGACTCAGCTACATAGTATTAGCACTACCTGGACGATCAAAGTCGCGAATGAAAGGTTGTAATCGATGCTTGTAATCAAGTCGGAACGCAATCCTTGAGGAGATCCTTCCTGATGTCTCTCCCTTGTATCTTCCATCGCACTCCTTTTTGTCAGCTAGGTACCACTCACCATACCAATCCCCTGAAAGGTTCTTGGTGTACTCTTTTCCCCTCACTTTTTCGATGCTCATCTGGTTTCAAGTGCCGAGACCCTCTTCCTTCCTAAACAGTCAGTTTCGGGTATATCTGTCTTATTTCTATTTTGCTCCATGCCCCAAGCTCCTTCACGATTGGCATATTTAGCCTTTATTCACCCCATGTGTCTCCAGCTCATCAAAAGTGTACACATGAGCGGTTTGTTGCTGATCTATGCTGCATTTTGTCTGGGAGATCGGAAAGGATAGATCCCCCACCTTATATATCATTTTTACGCTCCGAGAAGACGGGCATGAGCTAATATCTTCCGAGCGAAAGTTGTAACCCCTCCTCCCCTTTCTCCATCAACTGACTAATTTAAGTCTCGATTTCTTGAATTTGATTATTTGATGGCTATCTCCATGACCTAAGACCTGAGCGAATTTGCTGTCCAAACCAATCATCACCCCTCCGCCTCCTCTACCTCGACGAATCGAAAGTGCTGAACAATTCTTCTTGCTCTTCTGTTCATCTTCATCCTTCTCTTTTGTTGGAGGATATACTATTCGAATCGTTTCTGCGTCTCAACACTTCTTCCGGGTCTCTACAGTCAATCCGTCCTCTAGCCGATCGAGCAGCTATTTGCGAAATCTTCATAAAAAAATCAATCATGCATGCGGATGAGCCTGGGACGTCAAGACTGGCGAAGATGTACCGGTTTATACATAAGATTGGAAGTGGTGCATTTGGTGAGTGATCCCCAGTTTTGAGACCCCACACCGTTGCCCCAGGGTATTGAGGCTATGTGTACTGCGTGTAAGGGGAGGCTGATGGAATCAATCGCTTACGACGTCCCAATGTGGCTTCCTCTTCTCTTGACATGCGATGCTTTCGACTTAGGTGATGTTTATCTTGGATTGGACATCAAAACTGGAGACTACGTGGCTATCAAGGTCGAGAGTACGGAGTGTGCAGATCCTCAACTTCGACACGAGGCAAGAGTGTATCAACTGCTACAAGGCGGGAGAGGGGTTCCGTGAGAGCATCTTGATCCTCTTCAGCTTTTCAAAACCTTTCGTGCTCATGCTGTGTTGGTTTTCTTCGTTGGCCTGCTGTTTTGATGAGGATATTAGATCGTTGAAATGGCTAGGGACTGGACGAAACTATGTAGCGATGGTCACCGACTTGTTGGGACATAGCCTCGACCATATCTTTTTAAGACGTAGAAAGTTTAGCCTCAAGACAGTCTTACTTCTCGCTGATCAAATGGTAGGCAAACCACGCTCTTGTGTCAATCTCTTCAACCACTTCCGTCCAAACTCTTGACTTGAAAGTTGCAAAAACTCCATCCCGTAGATTAGCAGAATCGAATTCCTTCACTCCCGTGGGTTCATTCATCGAGATATCAAACCAGGAAACTTTCTCATGGGACGTGGACTCCAATGTAACGAAATCCACTTAATTGACTACGGTCTCGCTCGTCTCTACCGCTCTCCTCAAACCGGAGTACACATGAGTCCAGTGACTGGAAGGCCGCTGGTTGGCACTGCCTACTACTCCTCTATCGCTACTCATCTTGGAATTGAGCAAACCCGCAGAGATGACCTAGAAGCGCTTGGATATATGTTGGTGTCTTTCTTACTCGGAGCTTTACCGTGGCTTGGACCAGAAACTCAAAATCGTCAAGAAAGACACGCACGTATCCTGCAAGGAAAACTCGACTGTCCACCTGACAAACTTTGTCGTGGACTACCTCAACAATTTGCACAATACTTACAATATTGTCGTTCACTCGGGTTTTCAGAATTACCTGATTATCATTACCTTCAAAGATTATTCAGGAATTTGGCCCTCCAACAGAGAATTGTTTATGACTATGTATACGATTGGACTCCAGTATCTGGTCACGGTGTGGTTCGAACGGTTATATCTTCGAGTACCAATAATCGACGGAACTCGTTCAGTAGCATAGACCCCAGACTGCTGAGACCCTGATCCAAGCCCAGAGAGTGGAGTCACTTCACTCCCACACTTTTTTCAATCCTTGCCTTTTTGGTTTTCAATTGCTATACGTTTTTGTGACTATCTCTTGATGTTTTAGCTCTTCATTAATTTCATTTTTCTCAATCTGCTTCGGTTTCGGACATTGCTAGTTTAAACTGTGTTCTTTGCGACTTTTGCTTTTACCTTTGCTTTTGAATATCTTGACTATTTTTCTCTGATGGACTTGATAATGCGATAATTAATTCGAATCCTATTGCATGCCGTTTATCTGATCCTTCCCGATCCGTCCGAGGATTTGCATCAGACGATGCCTCGGATCGGGAGATCCGAGGTATCTATGTTGGCGGTGATTGCATGCAGTCCTCGACGACAAAATTGAGGTCAAGGACTCTGCCAATACCGGTAATCCCCACTTTGTCGACCAGGCTATCAGGAAAGTCATCGAGGGTGCCAACGCAGAGTTTATCTGCGCCCTCAAAGAACACCTCGCAAGTCTCTGTGTTTTCGGTGTTGTTGGGGAAAAAAGAACCACACAGGAAGTATAGCTGATCGGGAATGAGTTTCATTGATTTGGTACTGAAACCAGTGGCACGAATTTTGTAGTGAAGTTCCTGGGTGTGATTCGCACCAGCACAGCCAATCAATACAGAGTAACTTCGGAATTCCACCTTGAAGTGTTTGTCTTGAGGTAGCTACGTTCAGTCAGGAAGTTGTGAGTTGGTGGTTCAATTGGCTGATTCAGCGGGAATCCGACAAACCTGCTCCTCAACGTTGAAAATGCCGGAAAGGTATAAACCGTGGCCGGTGCAGGGATTGGGCTCAGACATAGCAGCCCCAGTTCCTTGACGCTGGTGGACTGGTAGGAGAGATTCAGAAGGAAGCAATGATTTACCACTAAGCAAAGAGTAAAATTGAGTCCTTGACAAAATAAAGACAATGGATTCTAGAACATGTACATACAACTGAACCGGGCGCAAAGACGACTATGTGTTGGATGCCAAAGGAGCACGTCTGGAGGAGTTGATGAAGCAGTGCAGAAGAGTTGACTCGGTTTTATATTGCAGAAAGCCGTGCAGGAAAGTGAATAAGCCAGCGCTACCCAGGGGCAGGAAAGGCTTTGAGCGCGAGATTTCAGTGGAAAGGGCATCTTGCCAGTGAGCTTTCTGTGAATGCTTATGCCGGAACTTGCTCCGCAACTATCGGATAGCCAGCAAAATCAAATGAAGGTGTTCATTTTTGCAGCAAGCGGACATGAAGATGCTTGCCTCAAGCAGACTATGGCCCCGTTGTAGTATTTAAAGCTCAACAAGAGCTTTACAACACCTAAGAAGGGATAACCTACTACGTGTAATATAGTAGAAGTTTCCTAAAGACTGCCTTCTTCAAAGAAACCAGCACAAGGGCACTTGCTGACCACTTTGTGATAACAGAGAAATAGATAAAGGCACCAGAGAAATGTTCTCAATACTGTTGTAAGTATTATTCCAGATTTTAAGCGCAAGAAAGTCCACAAACAATGTTTAGTACTAGCAATACTGTGGTAAGTATTATTCCCAAAGAGACTTACAGTCTTTAACACACGCCCATAAATTTCTCCTTGCTTTGAAGGGGCGGATTTAAGTGATCTTGGTACAAATAGGGCGGTTCAAGAAGAGCTTTTACACCCCTTTTGAAATTTTATGTTTTGTTTGGGTGCTTTAAATTTTAAGTGTAATTATAAGTTCGCAAACCACCTCTAGAGGTGGTTCACAGTTTTGCGATCACTCGATTTCGCTTAAATTTCTTATGACTGTCAGGTCCGAATGATGAAAAAAAGATCATCTTCCATTTTTTTTGTTTTTTGGTGTACCTGGATGTGAGAGTTTTTTCTCATTAGCTATGGATTCTTTCACAAAAAACTCCATAATTGACTGCTAAAACAAGCCGTTGAACTTCACCAAGGCAAGTAGAAACAGGGCAGAGGACTAAAGAAGAACCGTTGGGCACAGAAAAAAAAGGAGGTATGAGCGTCGGAATACGTTGGCCCTTTTTTTAAAAGGCCTTAAAACTTAGTTTTAGAGCGTTTGTGACTGAGCGATCAAGAATTTTAAGGAGTGAGCAACCGTAAAAAACTTGATTGCGACTCTGCATCACGTTGCTCGCATTTCTCAACTTGAACCGCCCTAATGTAGTAAATAAATGATGATTTATAACACTACTACAAATGTATAAGATGTAGAAAAGGGAACAACAATCCCAAAAACATCAAGGAGTACTTATATCCACATGTAACAACCACTACAACGTTCAACAGCCTCAAAAACCAGCCAAATCCGCCTAAAGAACCCTATGATGATGCAATGTAACGATCATGTTACTAATGTATGATGTATTTTTCACAGCCAAAAGTGATCAATGAAGCAATGATTTAATGTACAGCACTTCTTATGATGAATTCAGGTGATTTCTCCTCGTAAACTAGCTGCAAACCAATTTTTGAGATTACGAATTTTTTCAGATGGGGTCCAATTTTGGATTACTAAAGTGCATCTTGTAGAGCTCGTGATACTGATCAAGAAATGGCGCCATATCAAGTATCTCTGATGAGTGATGAATGAGTTATTGAGTTGTGAAGTTAAGGTTTTTGGTGTTACATGTGTACTTGTGACTGTAAATTCAAAGTTCACACCAATTTCTTATTTCCCTTGTAAGTTTTTTCACACACCTCTGCTACTAGTGATTTAAAGTTTGTACATTATGTAATCCACTCTTCTGCGTTGAATGAGCTATTTACCATTACAATCTGACGTCAATTAACATATGTAAGTAGCTGAAAACCTTCATTGTCAACAAAATTCACCCATTTTTACTACTTTCCACAGCTGTTACTGCTTTTTTCTTGCTTATGTAAAATGACATCATCGTCTATAACCTTCAAAATCCCGCAAAATCCTCTTAGCAACCTTAAATCTTGCTACTACCACCTTTACATATGTAATTTACACATCTAACCCTTGTTTACCATCCTTGAAAATGTACCTTTCTCCTAATAACTTCTGTTTCTCCTTATCAACCTTCAAGATTACAATTGTTAAAGTATAATATAATGTTGTTCTTTCATATTCTAACCTCATAAAACCCATAAACTTAATATTACTACCCTAAAAACCATTTTCCAACCTATATACCTATATTTTTGAATTTTTCTCATCTTTTTCTTTTCTGTCTTTTTGTAATAACTTTGTAAGTAAACTATAATTATCTTAAGAATTTGTTTGAAATGTGATGACATAATCTTGACCCAATAACCACACATAAGCCTATAATTGAGAGCTTCAATTGATCTAAAAACCCCATTTCAAATTTCCTGCTACACTGAAGTTTTCTAATAACTTGGTAAACTAATAATGATTAATTTTTTTGATTGATCCCATAAATAAATCACCACACCGTGCAGGATCAATCTGTATGCAATCATGTGATGAGAGAAGGAGGTACAAACAACTCACACATTCATGAAATAGAGGAGGTCATGCTTAAATGAATGGGCCTGCTCAGAGGCTGAAATCACAGGGGCCAAAATAGATACTCACATACATGTGAGCGTTGTAGACTTTTTGGAATTCTCCAAAAAAGATTCATTTTCTTTCAGATTGATTCAATTCACAATCTTGTTTGTGTTCAGGTGATCATCCTGTGGTTCTCATATTTTACTTGACATTTATTGAGAAGGCTCATTTCCATCTTGGATGAGCAATAACTGATTCCCGATGAGTACTCAGGATCAGCTCATGAGGCACTGAATACTCAGCAATTTGTTCAAAATGAAGATGAGCACATGAACTATACCTTCCTGAGGCTTCATTTTTCAGTGAAGAAGCCTGCCCAGGGGCGTCCCATTTGAGCTGCTCAGCAAATACTCAGTAGCATCCCCTGACTGGATCACTGATGGGCCGGACTTTTCTCAGACTTCCTTGCTAAGGAATGAAGCCTGATAAAAGCGTCATCCCATCTGCTCATTGCTCAGCTAATCCTCAGTGATATCCCCGGATAAAGTTTTTCACACTGAGGGGCTGAGATCAACTGAGCAGCCCCTCAGCCAATACTCAGTGACATCCTTTGGATCCTTCTGATCCGGCCAGGAATGCCCCTGAGGACTAGCTGAGCAGGCCCTCATCCAATGAGCAGTGAAATCCTCCGGATCCTCCTGATCTCAGGGATGCCCCTGAGGAATAACTGAGCAGCTCAGTTGAACAAGCAGACGGGCCTCAGGCTTCATTCCGGAGCCATGAAGCTTGAGGCAAGCTTGGCGCTCTGTGATCCATCTGGGGGATACTTCAGAGACTTAGCTAAGGGAATACTCAGTTCAGCTCAGCCCCTAAGCTATACATTGGTGGCATCCCTTGGAGCTTACTGAACCAGGGAATGCCGCTCAGGATCAGCTGAGCAGATGGATCATCCCTTCCTCAGACTTCTTTGCTCAGGAATAAATGCTGAGGAAGGCTTAGTTTGTCTGCTCAGTTCCTGATGATCACGTAATCAGCTGAGAAACAGAAAGAAAAGGGAAACAAATGGGAAACAAATGGGAAACAAATGGGAAACAAATTGGAAACAAATGGGAAACAAATGGGAACAAAACAGGAAAATTTCAACGCTCACATAGTTGTGAGCATCAATTTTTGCCCCTGTGAATGTTGACACTGTCGTGAGATATTGGAGCCAATTGGAAGTTTGCGCGTAGGTAACGGGAAGTATTCCAGTTGCAGTGGTGTGTAGGGATTAAAAAAAGAAGGCTTTGAGGGAATGGGCAGTAAGGAACCAGAGCATAAGTGGAGAAGATTGGTCATGGTGTCAGTGGTGTTTAAGTTTAGTGTCGATGGGCCAAGGATAAGTGTGTTGAATATTGTAGTGTGTAGGCTGGAAGGCACAATGTCGTATTGCGATTATGAACAGAAAAGTTTTTTGACGGCAGGTAGCAAGGATTGGAAGTGTGGGCCAAGGAAATCTGTTGC